GCACTCAACGCCTTTTGCGTCGCACTTTGCGCAGTGGGGGAGTTGACGATCACAGCGAAGTCTTCGACGTCGACAGTTATGACAAGGCTTGTCGGCAACAGGTCCAGAAGGTACTTTTTTCCCCTTCTTTTTACTTCCTGGAGCCATGGGGTACTCCGAGCATATACTTAGGGAAAAAGAAAGCCAGTCAGTCGGTCAGTCAGTCAACAGTGCAGGTAGGAATGAAAGGCCAGGACAAGGGTTCAGCCGATCAACGTATAAGAGTGAGGCAGACTTCCGCTTCTGGGAGTGCGGCGTAGAAGGAAGAGCCACAATTACACATCAAGGTTAAATCGAATGATGATTGCAGGCAATTGCGTTCTGTAGTAGGCAATATTTGGAAAGAATCTCTTATTGTACAGTCTAAGTTTCTACCTCTTGCTCAACGATCCTCGCGTCTCACCTATGTATGGCCGGACCCGGGCGGGGATTGCGACTAGACCGGATATGGCAGTTATTTTGCAACTTTTCGACCATCTCCCCAACTCGTCAGACTCCATCTCTTGACACTGCCGCATGCCGGTAATCTCTTGAGATCTAGAATACTACCTGATAATCTAGAAATACAGATAAGACAAGATCTGGCCATGGCCTGCCAGGGCGGAAGTTACCTTTTTCAATGGATCATTCCGACTCCTCGGAAATAACCGCCACTTGATGACCAACTGCAGTCAGCCAGTGACAAAGACTATTTATTCCCGGATAACCTCACGTAAAAGTTTCGTTGAGTTTTGCTCGTTGACTCATCCGGTTCGGCGAACTTGCAACGAAAACAGATTACGCTGGCTCTCGCAGTAAAGGGGTATTGAGTTGCCCGATAACAACTGCTGAAATTCTCTCCTCTGTCCTGACAAGAGCCAATGGTTCGTTTTCACATGTAATGAAATGTCGTGTCGAGAGAGGATGGAGTTCGATCGAATGTAACGTTGGAGCGAACTCGCGCTTGTCGACATACCCCTATTCGTAATGTGCAGCTCGGTGCTTGGCAATTGTCGGTCGATTTCTTCGGTCTTGTAGTGTGATCTTTATGGCATCAACGACCAGTGTCGAGGTGCTCGGGGCAAAGGATTCCTGACTCGCTCGGTTCGTTGGTTGCGGCTGTCGAATATCTTCTGTCTCTCGGATCATACGACGGGGGAAGGTCTGCAACGGGGTAGGTAGCTCTTGGACATGATGCTATGCTATTAGCAGAGAAGAATGTAAGAAGGGCACCATTCACTTGCACACGGATATCGCGTCCATCGTCTGGTTGCGCAGAGCACGAGCCGAGACGAACACGTCTTTGGAGGGAAAGCTGTTCAGAATTCCCCAAAGAATTTCCGCCATGTCTACCGATAGTGAAAGTGGTTGTTCGTTACCTTGTCTTTCAATAAGCAACTGCGTTGTTGTGCTGTTCGGTCCGAAAATATTGAGCAGTGTCAGTGCAATGGGCCAGATTTATTTTCCCACGCAATGATGCAGCATGGACACTCGCAAATACCAAAGCAACCAGCCTTCCAAAATTCTTGCCCCTCCGGACCTGTAATATTCCAACCCCAAAATACACAGTCCAGTAAATTCCAAAGGGCCAGCACGATTGGGCGTCAATAACCAAGGGTAGTGCTCTTTCGGGGCCTCCCCACGCTACCACTGCAGCAACAACAGAGTACGTCACAGTAAGTCTCGCGGCCGCAGTTGACGCTTATCTTGTCAATCACATAGTGCTTTCCACTGTAGTGGTAGCAAGAACCAAGTGCAAGCACCGCTGTCTATCGTAAGGCTTGGAGACCTGTAACCGTTTGACCACTCCCGCCCAGGACTTGCCCGAATCCCACTACGTCGACAGCCTCACGCCTGGCTGCAAGAGCACAAGGACAAACCGAAGACCCCCCGTACCTTCTATTGCATCCTGGGCTGACTGGCACACGTCATGCAAGGCGCCTGACCCCTGGGATACACCACAGTCATGCTGATCAAGGTAGCAGCGCTCCAAACGAATCGACACAGCTTCTTGCTCTCCATCAGCAAACCTGAAGCGTCAAGACGTGCTCCTTCCTCCTCTTCCGGATTTTCCGCGACTATAAACCCCCCCCCCCCTCCTCGACGCTCCTTTTTCATCATCGTCCTCCTCCTCACACACAAACATTACGAAGCATGGAGTCCTTCAGCATGTCAGGCCTGCCTACTGTTCAGTTGTCAGCATCGCGAAGCCATCCAACCTCCTCGAAGCAGCTCCCTCTGGCTCCGTATTCATACGATCGAAGGACGCAGGGGATCCGACCCTCGAGCCACTCTCCCGACGATGCTTCCAGTTCTCCTCGAATTCCATCCTCCCAGCTAACACCACATCACGCAAACAAAGCTCCTCGAGCGTCTTGCGTTGCCTGACCTCAAGTTGTGCTCTCCGTGGTAAGACTCATTGACCCCTGAGTCTGTCCGCCAAGTCGAGCGGGCTGTAGCTGTAATACCAAGGAGCTGACGAACCATCTCCTGGCTCCTCAACTCTATCTAGGAGCCAAATTAAACGCAAAGATCATGTATTGTGACCGCCATTGTAGTAGCGTCGGCCAGAGACTTCCAGCTGTAGTCCCCTACCAAAACGCCAATCACCAAGATCTAAGGACTCTGAGCACATGCAATCAACTTCAAGGCTGGCCTAGACCTTGACAGCGAAGACTCCTTGATACCATCGAAGTTTACCGCCAGTAAAGCTAACGACAAGAATCACAGTAGGAAGTGTCCAGATATTAGCTTTCCTTTCTGCCGCCAGCGCTCAAGCTTGACTACGATACCGCCCTTCGACCGCACTCCCGCCCAAGACCCCTGAAACCGCATTCTGTCTTGGACAGAGAGAGCTATACCAATTCGAAGCTCCGAGCAGTTATCATTGATGTTGAGCTTGCTATTTGTCCCTCGATGCTCATCGTCCCGGAGGCGCTGCCCACGAACCCCTGAATTCACAAACCGCGACAGGCATGCCGACAAAGCCTCGAGGCAAGCTTGAGACGCCGTACACGATCCATCCGACCCAATGCTCTCAATGCTGCCCTAGTGCTCGGTCACTACCTGCAGAGTTGCTGTAAGTATGCACCAGAACCCCTGAAGCACCAAACTGCGGCGGACAGACTGACAAAATCTGCAGGCAAGCCCATTACCCCATCGCCGCAACCTATATTTGATCTAATATCCACTGGAGAAGAGGAGAGCGTACGGCCGCCGCCGCGCTAGAAACTAAATATCGATTTCACGAGAGCCCTCGAAGCACCAAACTGCGGCGGAACAAGATCTACAGGTAAACCCATTACCCCATTGTTATAACCTACAATCGATCTAGTTTTCACTTAAGAAGACGAGAGCGTACGGCCGCCGCTGCATTAGAAGCTAAATGTACGATTTCGTGAGAGTCCCTGAAGCGCCCAACTTCAGCGGTCATCCTGGGAGTTGCAGGACAGAAGACAAGCGCTCCATACAACCATCAGTCTACTCAGCATCCTTCAGACATCATACTTGTGCTCGACCGCCGCCCCGTGAAAGGTCGCTCCAGTTCCTCTGATCTCCAACCTCCTGGTTAGCTTTCTGGCACACACCAAACGACTGCAGATCTGCCAGTCGTTCCAACTCGATTGTGTCTATCAGGGGCTGTGCAATTATCACCAGGTTCACCAAGTAAGGTCCTGCGAAGGCACCCCAGAAGCTACAGAGCCCTGACTAATCAAATGATAGGGCCCAAAGACAAGTTCAGGACCACGGGCATCCCGAACCGACCTTGCTCCACGATTGCCACCCAGATGCACGTAAACGACATGCCTTTAAGCTCCAAGATCTACTCCTGATGGTAGCCTCGAGACTGGTCGAGTTACAGGACCTCAAGAAAAGCTCGAAACCCTAATCGCCCCAGTCAAGTTAAACTTTACGAACTGTTGCATGAGGCTGCCACAGCAACGAATCACCACGACGCGAGACCCCCAATCTGGTACCAACAACAGAAGCTTATGTTACCGTTGCGAAACCTTATCGTTCTTGCAAAACACCGTGACAGCGATATACTTCGCACTTGCACCACGAAAGGGGTTTACATGACAAACTCGCCACGGCGGTGGTAACCATTGGTTATGAGGGACAAGTAAGTTTTAATGAAGGAGAACTTTGATCTTCAGTCGATGCTTAAAAACGGGAGCCAACAAACTTCGCATATTGTGGAAAGTTTACAGACGACACTCTTGATTCACTGATGAGCATGTTTTGCGTACTACCACTGGCCAAGTCTTTGGTCTCTGCATTAATTGAACTTTGATCAGAACCATGATCACAATTCTTGAGCTGTGTACCGTAGCATTATGAGTCACCTCAGTTGGTACAACGAGGGTATCTCTGGCCCGGAGGCTATTACACTACAGCAAAGGATCTTTGTTGCCAGTATGGACTTGCCAGCGAACAGATGCGCTACGCAGCCAGCCATCATGGTCAAGTAGAAGCAGAATAGTCACAAATAAGAAGGCACTTCAAGTGTAAATGCAATATTCAGTGTATTAGCATCGATGCCCTTCATTGCATTCCCCATGTCCTGATGAATATTCCGTAATCCGTAGTCGTACCAGTGCCGTAGCAATAAAAACTGCTGGTAACGTTGTTTCCCCGAGATAAAACCACAAATAAACACATAGCAACTCCAAAATAACCATCAATACGCAATCCCTTGCCGATCCCTTCATGTCATTAAAATCCATGGGTCTTTCATTAGACACCTATGGTATACATTATGAAGTCCACCGTTGTGCTCCCTATTCCATATGCTCCCAAAATGTTCATTCTCAGCTAATCTCCGCGAGTGGGGTCCCTGGATGGAATAAGTATGAAGAAGAGGCAACAGACACGACGAGACTTACTTCAACCTGGATATCTTCCAGCGGACGAATCTCTAGTGGGCTCTGGGCCATATATAAATTGGTGTCTCTGTCGATATCTTGAAGTGAATGGAGTCCTTAGTCAAGTGTTGTTCCCCAAAGGGGTTCGTTTCCGTTAGAAATGGACAACGCTTCGACGCTGTATCTCTTCAGCTTGTCGAGACCATCGTACATCTGCCGGTTACGCTGGGCCACCTTGAAGGCAAACCACTTCTCGCGGAGGTCCATGTTGTATCTGAACGTGATGGCAATATGCTTGTAGAGCTTGGTCATGCCAGTATCCCGGACCGCAGCGTGCTCGCGCTGCTCCCTGACCCTAAGGCCCTCTTCTCTGTCAAGGTAGTATCTTTTGACGATGACATTCATTGCTTCCACAATGTAGTTTGCTACCAGAAGGGTCGAGCGCACTTGGCTGTGGGAGAGGGTTTTCTCCCTCCCCATTTCCAAGAATCGCTCGCGGCTCTCCTTCATCTTTTCCACGATTTCGTTGATGTCTCTCTCCATACTGATACGACTGTTGTACCTAGTTGGTATAATAACTACCTGTTCCGGGTTTTCAAGGTCAAACCGCAGAAGGTCATTCGTATCAAACATTGCCGCTGTCAACGGGTAGTGAGGGTTCATGTGGTAGGTACGACCCATCTTGAAGGTAAGAAAATGTAACGTCTGGAGGATTATTCTAGGATAGGAACAAAGTACTCGATCGAGTAAAGAAATGTGAAGATGATAGGGTCTGGTTTGTTCTTGTGTATGTTTGTTATTGCGTGCGGAGTGAGCAGCTGAGGCGGCAGAAAAGATGGACGAAGAATGAAAAAAAGATGAGAGAGAGGATTCAAGAACTGCGGCCTTTATAGACGAGGAACATAGAGTTTAGTAGAGTTTGACAAGATTTGAGATCGTCAAGGGGAAAGCTTACGAACTCTCTTGATATGCTCGCAGAGGAACCATGCGTTGTGTTTTGGAAGTTATTTTGAAGTGGAGAGGGGTAAATTTCTCTGGACTTTTTTTCAGGCACCCGCCGCCCTGCAGGTTGCATAAGTTTTATTGCTCGAACCATGGTAATGATTTTGCCTGGCAGTGCAAGTGCTTCAACAGTGCTATGCTTGTGTGCCGAGTAGGGCAACTGATGTCTGCCACAACGAGGGAACTCGAACGAAAATGCTGGTTTTAGTGACGTATATCTTCAGTCTCTTGTCTGAGCAGGGCCAGAAGAAGATGTTTCATGTAGATGGAGAAGATATCTTGATATGTTCCTACGTGCAGCCAAGAGTGACACTCGCACTCCCTTTTATACCCCAGGACTCAACGCCCAACCCCACGATCTACAATATCCTTGCACCACTTGTGGCACTATATGAATACTAGATAGGTAGGCAATGTTTATTTATCACGATTGAGTGCAAAGCATGATTGGCGATGTAGGAAGCTGACATGGTATGTTTCTGATATATCAGGTCATGCAGCTCTTGGCACGATCCATGCCCAATTCCGCCGGGTTAAAGGGTCCTCATGTGGATCGAAGCACCCTAAAATCAGTAAATCACGGTGCATAGTTTATGATCTTTAGGATGAGTCTTAGGTAAATTCATAAAATCTTTGAGCAGGTGGTGGCGGCCCGGCCGAGCTATTGTGGCTCTGATGCCGCTTGGAGGGACCCATCGATTCGGTGACGCCTAGCAACACCAACAGAGCCGCAGCCGGGGCACAACAAGCCCACCCGAGCACATCAGATAATCTCGATCGAGAGCAAAGTGCAACCGAATTCAAGGCATCGAAGATAATTCCATCACAAACAACCTCCGACCTTTTCATCCTTTGAGTGCAAAATACCACAATTGTACCTCGGTCACATAATATACCCTCACCTTCTGTTTCCTCTCCCTCTACTACACATCAGCCTCTTCTTCATCTCCTTTTCTTTTGGACTGGGACGATTTCCTTTTATCTCTTCTTCAACTTCTTCAACCATTTCTCTTCACTCGTAAAACGCTTCGTACCCTTTACGATCCTTGGTCCCTCATCAGGTCTCGTTGAATCACTCACGCCGTCTTGACTTTTAGGGTATAAATTCCACCATTCGATCCTTTCTCTTCTTCTCCTTTTCCTTCCCACAGCCTCATCAATCATACATACTTTGACGAGCCAAAACTTCAGCAGCCACAAGCTTACATTACTTCATCCAGGTCTGACATCTCACAATCACCTATCATTCACCACCCTCACCACGACCATGTCGCCACGATCAGAGTCAGTGACTGAAGATACGACTGATCATGTCGAGGCACCCCCCTCGAAGAAAGCCAGGGTCAAGAAGCCAGGGATTTCCAAAGATGACACCAAGGCTATTCGTGAGAGACAAGAAGCCGCCATTGCTCAAATTCTTCCCGACACCAAGAACCATCCTGTCCTGTATAGAGGTGTCGTTCAGCAGATCGAGCGAAACAATCTTCGAAATGGTTGGGTAAAAACTCAGCTCAATAGTACCTTCCAGCATTGGAACAAAGTCTCTCCCTCGACTGCTCGACCTGACTTGGAGTGGTTACTTGCTGCACTGGCAGTTCATGCATCCTTCGAGCCATTGAATCTCAAGTTCGTGGATGAGGTTAAAAAGCGCGGCCTTAAGGAATGGGCGGGGAAACAGCTGAAGAAAAAGGATCCCCTTTCTTCATCTCCTGTTCCGGCTGAACCAAAGACGCCCCAGCAAGCGCCTCAGATTAAGACTGAGCCTGGAATTGACTCTCGCAGACTGCAGACAACTCCTGGGGGAGCAAGACCTGGGCAGGGGAACAGCAACGTTCTTCCATCGATCGAAACTGGTACCGGCGGTACCCTGAAACGAACTGCTCCCGTACACCCAGCCCAACCTGCGAACAAACGAGCAAGTGTGTTCACAAACCAGGCGTTTTTTCCTGCTGGAGTAAGCAGCTACGCAGGATCACCAGTCGCGCCTCAAAGAATCGTCCTTCGAGACACAGGGACGCAGACAGAAGACAATTTCTCTTTGGGGAATGTCGTTGGGCCGATGCTCAAAGCAACCGAAGCCATGACTGGGAGTAAGGAAAAGCTTGATGAGCACACTCTTGCGCTGAAGGAGCACAACCGGGTCTTGGAGGAACACAACAGGCTACTCTCTCAACTTCTGGCAAGGGTTCCAGGTGCCCAGATGCGACCTGTTAACAGCATGTCCCATCACCAATTCCAGCCTCAAGCTCAGGAGATGGTTCCGCTGCAGCAAGTCAATCATCAGCCGCGCACCTACTTCTACCACCCTGGGCGAGAGTCTGGCAACAGTGGACAGATCTTTAGATTCGATTAAGGACTCAATCGCAAGGCGGGATACGGAAAGGAATGGAAATCATTTGGATGATGGGATGGCGAAAGGATGGGATTCTTTTGGGAGTTAGGTTCAAGACCAAGGGGAAATCTTGCTTAGATGAATTGAGATTGGAATCGTGGGCAGGAATTAGGATGGGAGAAAACGACAAAAAGCTGGGCGTTGAGGACACTGGGATTAATCATAGCTAAACTAATACTTGCTACATACCAAATTGTACAAATTTGCTTTACTTAGGCTCAGTAATACCGATTGTAACTGACTGGGAAAAATGATGTGGATATTCTTGACATAAGGATATTCTAGCAATAGCCTCGCCGGACAGTCGGAGATGAAATCAACCATTGACATGACAAATAGCCTTCACGTGTAAGACGGAACCAACAACAGGAGAGATGAAAGCACCACGAATAAACTTTTACATAAAGCAGTGGAAATGCCTCTTTAGCCGCTTTCCTAACTTTACCGAGCATCCCATGGCCCGTTGAGACCAAAGCGCAGCCCCAGCCGCAACCGCAACCGCAACCGAAGGCTACAATGCTCGACGGTGACAGGTGAGAGATATCGAATCTCGCAAAGCTTTACCCCATACTGTTTCATAATAGCCTCTGGGGGTGTGTGGGCTTTCGATCCCCGGTGGCGTATGCCCTTGCGCGCGCGCGGGGGAGACCTACCTAGAGGCTAGGGCCCAGGACCTAGGGGACCCTACCAATGCAACTGAACATGCAACCGTCGACCCGATTCGTGCTGGGCGACTCTAGGTACAGCAAATTACCGACAGGAATGCGTCATCCCGTTTGCCGCTAACAGAGAAGAGGCCAAGGAGGCTTTTGTGAGGTCGAGAATCTTTGGGCATCGAGAGGCGAAAATCTGGGGTCGTAGCCTGTCGTATCCATCCGTAGGACTCTCTGTCTGCCTGTCAGATCGGCAAGTATCAAGTTTGGCCTTGTGGTTCTGCTACGGCAGATGAATGGTGACAATAGTTTCCTACCCCGCAAATTCAACAGCTGGAAAGGGTGTGATCAGCTTTTGATCTTGTCAGCTACGAATGACCAAGTACGAGGCGCAGTTCTGAGTTCATCATCACCAATTTTGTACGTTTCTTTCGGATGCAATGGATTGTTCCCCGTGAGTCAACCACACAATAATGCTGTACATACTACTACATATGCGTGCGGATGAGATGGGAACAATCAGCTGTAAAAAAGCCGAGATCTCTCAAGACTCCGTGGGAACAGAGTAGAACAGAACAGCCGACTTTGGGGGTTGTCTCGTTTGTTAGCCTCATCTGGAGATCCAATGATGAACTGGGGTTGTGAGTGGACGGATGTTCTGCTCTCTCTCTCTCTCTCTTACTGTTCTTTAGTGGCCTGTGAACGTGGAGTGAACAAAAAAGTGACGAGGGAACGGCCCAGCCCAGTTGATTCCAAGGATGTGACTGGCTGGTCGGATGGTATGGATCAGCCTTTCCAAGGGCATTGGTTGGATTAGACGTTCTCGTCACACTGCCTCGTTACAAACTTTTTGGCTCGTTCCGTGTCTCTGTTCGTTTCTTTTCTCTCCACCTCGCAAACCAAGCTAGTCACCTTAAGACACGCATCGTCATTGCACGATGACGTAGCATGCGTGAACCTACATACATACATACATGACCCAAGCATCAGCATGGGAGTTGCCTTAGCTTCCATTGTGACGCCAGGGTCCTGAGTTTAATTGGTCTAAGCCGCAATTCAAAAGCAAGGCAAAATCACGGGTGAGAAATCAAATCACAAGAATCACAAAAGTCAAAAACGAAGCAAAATACCAAGCAAGAGACAGAAAATAAGCATGAGTGCGTCTAATTAAACAGAGATATCGATATCTAAATCGTACTGTAAAAAGTATATGTCTTCACTTCCACTCAACAACCAGTAAAAACCTCAGCTGAGATCACCCACCCTCTCTTGGGTACGGCACATGCAGAGTTCCCCTCACCACAAACGCTTGTGTCACCAAGAGCGGAGACGTCCAAGCCAAGGGATCCTTGAACCTTGAACCTTGAAATCTAAGGGTTGCCTAGCGCGGAGCGTGTAAGTCAGGACCACTAGCACCACCACCAGTGAAAAAAAAACTGTCCACTCTTTTGCTCTGGCTCTGGCTCTGGCTCTGGCTCTACCTGGCTGAGGCTCTAGGCTCGGGGATAAACATTGACCTGCACTGCAACAGAGTGAATGTGGGCTCTACCCGTCTTAGAAGATGCCGAAAACAGCCCATTCCGACTCCAGCATGGATACAGAGTAAGGTAAGGTAATTTCACCCCCATTCTCTAGGTCTCTTGGACTCTTCCGATCAACATATCCGAGCACTCTGAGGGCGTCCCTTTCCGTTCGGTTGCCTTGCTCTGCCTTGCTTGTCTGGCCACGCCTCTTTCGTTCTCTTGCTCTCTTGCTCTCTCCTCCTCAACTATTTATATCCCTCCTCTTCCCCCGTTCCCAAGCTGACCTGACTTCCTCCTCTTCATCAACAGTCACCAGATTTTACCATCCAAAGACTACCTAACTTCAACTTCAACAACACCACTCCAACACTTCAACACCACAAACCCTCATCACCAACCAACCTCACCAACATGCCTGCCTACGAGTACTGCTGCCAGTGTGGAGGCATGATTGTCATCAGCACCACCTGCACCGCTTGCGGCCACAAGCAATGCAACAACTGCCCTCTGTGCTAAAGCATTCACCCACAGACACGTCTCGACGGCGTTCTCCTCCTCTTCTCTCACAACACACGCTTGGGCCTGCATCATGACAAAGGGCTACAGCATGGCGAGATGAAAGTCTGGACACCCTCGCTCATATGAGACACGACTACTTGAAGACTTCAACGACGGCGCTTCTATTCTGCTCGGAAACTGCCTCTTCTCCATTCACACCTATGACCTGGTCGTCACATTCACCATTTCACTTGTTCTTGATTGATACCTCAGCGACTGGTTCTTCAAGCAATTATCCTCTTTCTCCAACAGCAAAAGCTTTGCTTTCAGCCCCCCTTGGGGGTGTTTATGCGAAAGGCGCCACGGGAAAGATATGACGTCGGGTTTTGGGCGTTCTATTACTCTATGCTTTTACGTTTTGGACTTGTCTCGGGGTTTAACGGGGAATGAATCGCAACGGACTTCAGCTGTAACAATATGTTAATCGATACCCGCGGTCTCTTTTTTGGGCCTTGACTTTTGAGAATCAGAGACAAGAATCAATACCAAGTTTTATCAACCCACTTTCGGTGTCTTTTTGCCCGGCGCTTAGTCTTGTGATTCGAATTGATGAGTCCATCGTGAAATAAAACGCTCCAATCATGAATGCACGTTGCCAATTCTTGGTTTGCTTGCCACTGTTAAACGCTCCATTTGGACCCTTGTTTCAGAAAAAAATGACCCCCAAATTCTGTGCCATGACCCGGACTCTCCCGGACCACAGCGTGAGCAGCCTTCCGGATGTTTCCCTTCGTTACATAACATAGCAAACCTCACGTCGGCCCTTCTCTCTGGTTTGGAAATTCAATGCCCACAAGTTAGAACCACATTGCCACGTCGCACCGACAATAATTGCAGAAAACACGACAGCCTGACTGTAAGTAAAATGGAGGCTGGCAGCCTCACCCACTTCATATTAGCCGAGTGCCAATGGCTGCTTGTGAGACACAAAGGTTTAGGGCGGGTGTTATCCTACCCTAGATCCAATACACGAAATTGGAATATTGCATAATTTCAAATGAAGCTCGAGCTCATGGCGTTGTGAGACTGTCCATCATAGTCATGGTGCCACGGCTTGCGATGCTCCCCAGTCCGACCTCATCTCTACTGATCAAGTCTTGATAGTGACATCTTAATTACGACCCGAGCTGCTCATTTGCCAGTTCGGTAGAATCGTGGGCCGTATGCGTCTTGGATAAGTCAACATGGGCACCTAGGTAGACTGAGTATCATGGGTGACCATCGTTATTTATCTCATCTACAATGTTTGACCACAGGCCTGATGCCTATTCCCATTCCTTGACTATGGCCATCCTTGGCTTTGAAATGGCGAAAACTCTCCATGGGTCAACATTTTATAAGCTGACGTAGTATCCTCACTACGTCTTTTGGCCATCGGCTTCCGATCCTATACGTACAAAACCAAACACCTCCCCAGCCTTGTTGAATGCATGCCCGCTTGTTCCGTTCCATTCTGCTTCCTGACATATCATTCCCTTCCACACCTTGCCTGGCGCCAGCTATTCGAATCAAGGACCTGCTCGATCTCTTGCTAGCAGGGCCAATTTGCGCCTGATACTAGATTCCAACCAACCATCCATCCGTCAATGACCGAATTATCCCCAAAAGAAAACATACAAGGAGTGACTTATCCTTCACCCCACAAATACACACGAATGTTGGGGTCCTATCATCGAAGACTCTGCTCGATGATTCAGGACGCTGAGATTAAGTTGATGAAATGAAAAGGGCCGTGAGGTATCTTGGTCATGAGTCTCATGCTATCGGCAAAAGGCGAATTAAGAGAATTGAAAGAAATATAAAAAACAGTCATCATTTGCGCTGCTAAATCATCCCGCCGGGAACTGCATTGCTGCTCATGCTAGGAGGCAGAGGTGGTGCTGCCATAGGCGGAGGAGGAGCTTGATGCATTGATCTTGCTCGTGCGTTCATACCGTTTGCCTCGCTCGTGGCTTTGCGCAATCTCTGGCGGTTCATCCCTGCGCCATCTTCATCATCACTTCGAAAGCCAGCACGTGGGTCGTTCGCAATACTAGGGCTCATAGGGCGGCGATGAGCGCTCATGGTACCTTCAGCGAGCGTGGCTCCTGTGTTCTTGCGCCGAGGGTTGATTGGTGGCAAAGGGGGGGCAATGCTGCTATGCAGGTTAGGCGTAGAGACTGCACCACCATTGAGTCCAGTTCCAGGGCCAGGTCGAAGGCCGTCACGGTGACCCATGGGTGACATT